AGCCGTTTTGCTGACGGATGCTCCTTTTTTTAGGATAATCACAAAGGCCAAATCTTCGGTGCAAGATGATATTCTTTCCATTTTTTTATTTCCATTTTTTTAATGATAATAATCCGACCTTTGCGAGCCTCTCTCCATTTATTCCGACGCTGATGACGATGATGATGAATGATGATGAGGAGGAGGAGGAGGAGAATGATAATGATAATGATAATAATGCGATACTGATGATGATGATGAATGATAATGATGATGATGAGGAGGAGGAGGAGAATGATAATGATAAATTGATAATGATAATGATAATAATGCGATACTGATGATGATGATGATGATAATGATGATAATGATGATAATGATGATGAGTGTGTGAGGGATAAAAGGTGCATACATCAGCAAAAAGGAAAGCGTCCGCAAAAGAACAGACTGCTGATCGGCAGATTGACTGAGCTTGTGACGATGATCCAGGCGAAGATGCGGATGAGGATAATGATGAGGATAATGTTGATGAGCATAATGCTGGACAGGATAATGATGAGGATGATGAGGATGAAGATGAGGATAAGGATGAGGATGAGGATAAGACCGAGGATAAGAATTGAGGACGAGGATGAGGATCAGGATGACGATCAGGATGAGGATAACAATGATAAGCATAATGAAGATGAGGATGAGGATGACGAAAAGGGAAATAATGATGAGGATGAAGATGAAGATGAGGATGATGGGAGCTGCTGAATTCGTAATGACGTTTTGATGAGCTCGGTAACAACAGTGACGACGCTTCTTAATGATAATGATGATGATGATGACGACGACAATGAAAGAGAGAGTAGAGAGTAGAGGAGGTAGAGGGTAGAGGGTAGAGGGTAGCCGGTACCCGGTAGAGGGTAACCGGGTAGAGGGTAGAGGGTAGAGAGTAGCCGGTAGAGGGTAGCCGGTAGAGGGATAGAGGGTGGAGGGTGGAGGGTAGAGGGTAGAGGGTAAAGGAGGTAGAGGGTTGAAGGTAGAGGAGGTAGAGGGTTGAAGGTAGAGGAGGTAGAGGGGAGGTAGAGGGTAGAGGGTAGAGGCCGGTACCCGGTAGAGGGTAACCGGATAGAGGGTAGAGGGTAGAGTGTAGAGGGTAGAGGGTAGAGGGTAGAGAGTAGCCGGTAGAGGGTAGCCGGTAGACGGTAGAGGGATAGAGGGATAGAGGGTAGAGGGTAGAGGGTAGAGGTAGAGGGTAAAGGAGGTAGAGGGTTGAAGGTAGAGTAGGTAGAGGGTTGAAGGTAGAGGAGGTAGATGGTTGAGGGTAAAGGAGGTAGAGGGTTGAGGGTTGAGGAGAGGGTAGAGGGTAGAGGGTAGAGGGTAGACTGAGGGTGGAGATTTAATAACTACTTGATGGTGACATCGCAAGCGCCTGATCGTCGACAGAGAAGCAATCATCTGCTGACGATGCATAGAAGAACACAGACTACAGATGCCGGCTTCTACGTCAGCAGACGATTTAGGTACTACCCATGCCATCATGATCGGACGACGGAGAAGTACATCTGATAACGGAGACGATGACGGGGAAGAAAACGGAGAAGATGACGGAGAAAATAACGGATAAGAACGCGGAGAACGCCGACTTCCGCAGGAGAAACAAGAGAGAAAGCGAGGAAGAGAGAAACAGAAGGAACAGAGAAAGAGAGGAACAGAGAGAAACGGAGAAAGACAGAGACAAATAGAAGAGAAAGAATGTGAAAGAGGAGAGAAA